CAAATCAGCTCACTCTTACCACACCCACCTGTCACATCCCCTCTTTCAGGATTTGTTAATAGTTCTCTCTTACATTTAATACTATATTAATTATAACCAATAGAGAGCCAAAGTTTTCATCTATCAAATGATGTATTATATTATGTTGTTTTCTGAACAGAGAATTGTCAGTTATTCTTTTAGTACAAGCTTTGTTCCCATGAGAAACATATCGACTAGCTAGGATGAACTTGTAACGGCTCTTGTCGCATAGTTAGAATGCCAAAAAAATTGTGATAGTGATGGGACATTGTCTGCTCTTTGCATGTTATTATTCTACGTTGTTTGGTTCATTATTTAATTAAATAAAAATTATTTAGTGCACCACTACCATTCATATAAAATAAAAAAAAAGGAGGATTAAGTGTCATCGACAGTCAACAGCAAAAAAAAGAAGATCCAGGTAAGAACTTTATTTTTTGTTTTTTATATGTATTCTTTATTTATTACTAGAATAAAATACCCATACTCTGCTGTGGGATTTCAAGGTTCCCTCATGATTCACAGAGGCTTCGATGTACCAGTCAAGCATCTCCATTATTTTAATTACTTCTATAACTACCCCAGTGCATCAATTCTTTAATAGATTTGTCTATTGTAATTTCCCAAACTTAATTCAACACTTTTTAAAAGCAAATGGTTTTAATTTAGCTTCTAAGATTCGTTTTTTTCTTCCTGTGTTTTTATTTGAATTTTCCAATTCATATTTCCTGTTGTTTTTTGCCATTTCCCAAACTTAGTTCAATTCAACTTTTTTTAATAATCTCTGATTTGTATTTTTCTTCTAATGTTTGTGTTGAAAAAAAGAGTATTTGGCAGATAAGTACCACCCAGGTGTACACCCTCAGGGTCCACTCAGTATGGGTGCAAAATTTCAGGTTTCTAGGTTCTTTTCTCTTTGAGTTATGGCAGTCACAGACCCACAGGCATGCCATTTTATTATTATAGATAGATACTTCACAAAAAATCTATTTTTTTGTATGTAAAAGACTTGCAGTGTTTACTGAAAGTCTGCCAAATTTGGTGAAGATGCACATGCTATATTAAAAGTTAGTAGTATCACAACTATAATAACTTTAAATGAGTACAAAGTAGGCACATGGTCAGTCAATTTGATCGAGTCCATGTAGAGAGAGTTAAGCACTTTATGATCAAAAACCTACTTATCTGGTTATTTTACAGGATGCATGTGTCATTGTCAAATGCTTTATCTGTATGGCACCTAACTATTAAAAAACTTATACCTAAGTTGACTTGAAATACACACACACACCTATTGTGATTAAAGTTAGTGTATATTAATGTTTTACAGATTTTCATTGCTGTTACTTTTTTTCAAGGGTGTTGTATTTTGCATTTTATGTTTAAACATATGTTATGAAGATCGTATTATATTTTATCTTTGGTAGACAAAACTAGAGGTTCTTCTTCTTCATCAGACTTTCCTAAACCTCTTTCAACATACTCCCAGCTGTCACAGCAGCTACAAGAGAATGTTGATCCAGCTAATCTCCCTCTGGCAGCACGGCGTGCATTATTTGAGAAGGCTATGTATGATGACAATGGTAAAGTTCAACAAGAGCACAGAATTCCAGAAACATGCACTGTGGCTGTTAAGGCTGCAATGTTTGATAAGAGTAATATCAAAACTGGACAACTAGTTGCAACTTCTAACTCAGTAACTTACACTGCACAGAGTGAACAGGTCAGCCAACCATTACGACAGGATACTTGTGTTGTGACCTCAACTAAAACAGCAGGTGAAGCTTCTTCATCAAGTGCAACTGCTTCTATCAGCAGTGAGTTAAAATTTGTAAATGTATGTTAGAATACTTTGCCCAGATGAGAACACTTTTCATGCTTATGAGTGGTTTAACTCCTCTTTTATCATAACTTTTACAAAAAAATATTACTTTGTGCTGGATGATTAATTGATATTATCATTAACCTATGAGCCTCAATTAGTGTTGTAAAATAATCAATTAAGTAAAATCAGTATTTTTGATAATTATTACAACTATTTAATTAATTCAAGGTTGTTCAGCATAATTGATTAATGTCATGACTCACTATTTTCTGTTACTTCAACTATCCAGGCCTCATGTAGGAATAATTGATTATTAAAAGTAATTGATTAATGAGCCCAGTGATTAATTTATTATAAAATTTCACTAATTGCCTACTTCTACTTTGTGATAGACAAAATTAACTGATGTAACTGAGCAAGCATGGCACCAGACTTTTGTGGCCTCTAATGAATGAACACCTAGTGGGTTCCATTTTCTCCAATTCCCTCTCTTTCTGTAGTTTTCAACTGAAATATAATGTGTGTCACTTGCATTAGAAGCACTTTTGTTAGCTGTCTCACTGCCAAAAACAATGTTAAATTAGTGATTGAGCCTGCAGTTTCTACAGATTTTCTTCTTTTGTAGTCTTTTCCTTCAATTTTTGAGATTTAGATTTGTTTTTGAGTTTCCTGTAACTCAAAACACTCAATTTTTTTTCTCAAGTAAACAGTATACAGTAGTCAAAATTTTATCTTTACGTAAGACTTTATTTCCAGCTACCAACAACATAATCCTGCTAGATTCGTCAAGGTTACCATCCAATGATATTACACCAGACTCATTTTCCCCCCACCAACAGAAAGTGAGAAGGCAGGATAATGGAAAGAATGGTCGATAATAGGAAGAAAGTGACATTAAGACACTGACAAAGAGCTCCGAAAACTATTACATCATACTGATCATTTAATATGGCAAAAGTGTGTTTAGTCCTGTAGTTTTAATCTTTTAGTGGGCCCTTCTGTAACATTAGGATCCTGAGCAAATGCCAGTGTGCCGACACCCAGCCTGTAACTGAGGGTGTGTTGCAAGGTGGTTCTTTTTCTTGAAGGTGATGGTTTATTTGTTATTGTTATTTTTGCTCACCTGATTGAAATAAAGAACTTCATAGGTTTATGAAACAGTTTCAGTCCCAAAATTAGGTTAGCTATATAGTAAAAACTTGGTTTATAATGTGTACTTTGAAATACTTGTAAGTTTTAATTGTGTTCTTTTTACAAACCTGACTAGTCCAATTGGCAACTTAGCCACTAATGAGTTAAAGGCAGGTACCTGTATTTTCTTAGGTATAGTTGTTGTAGAATGAAACTTGTATAAGTATTTAAACTATATATTGAATTAAACTTCAATAACATAATATTTGAGATGCTACACATTCTGCAGGGTAGTTATAAAACCACCACTTGGAGCAGTTTAGGATGAAAAGTATGAGTGCAGTAGTGTGTGTTCATGTAGAATGGACCATGCAAAATGTGTATGTAGATATGTGTTTATGAATATTTATTTTTTATCATTCTTTTCACAGACAAGTCCTGTTCTGTAACATCTACATGCTCAAGTACAAATTCTCTTGCTTGTAAAAATTTAGGAACAAATAGCAGATACGTCCAAGAACAGTTTTTGCAGAATGACCAAAAAGACTGGAGTGGTAATGGAATTTCTGCCAAGACCAAAGATGAAAGACGATGTGAGATGACTGCGTTATTGAATCGATGGGAAAAGGCTTCCTCCTCCTCCAGTTGTCCTGAAACTGTAAGGAGTGATTATTCTAATAGGGTAAATGATGTAGATTACTTGAATTATGATATTTTTAATAAATACAGTCATGTGAATTTGTTTGAATTTGTCTTAAATTTATTTCTTATTAACTGTGGCTAGCTGGCAAAAAAGGCTGTGGATTCTAGTATGAGCCAGTGACCATCACAAGGCTGGCATTTGTTTTCCTAGTAGATAATCCATTCATGATTATGAATATAGAGACCAGTTGTAAACAATGATTAAACATTACTTAATAAAAAGCTAGCTATTAGCTCAACATTTATGTGGGGAAAAAACAAACTGTGATTACCAATCAATAAACCACTCTCCGTGGAAACTGTCCGTGACCTGATTCAGGGTGAGATGGAGTCCTTCATGTGGCCCAGGGTATCTCTCCGGGAGATGCTTATTTGAATTTTCATTCTGAAACGGGATATTCTGAGGAGAATTTAGACTCCCTGTTTCCTGCTGCTCCTTTCACTAAAGCTTCTTCTCCTGAGAACTCATCTGATCAGCCACCTTCTGCCTAATTGGAACTTTAGGGTTGTTTTACATGCTTTATCATGTCATCCCTTCGAACCCATGGCCTCATGTTCATTATATCACTTTCCCTCACAGTTTATTTTTTATTGCTGTTAGCTTCCAGATGCCGTCGTTCTGATTTATTTGCCATTCCTGTTCAGCAGACTCTCTATCATTCTGCCTATGTTTTGCTTTATCTCGACCGATCATTTATTCCAAAAGCTTGTTGCCAGAGAAGGAAAGAAATCTTTTTCTCCTATTCATTTACCTGGTATTTCTCATCTTTACAGTAGATCAGACCTGGATCGTTTATTCTGTCTCGCCAGGATGCTGAGATGTTATGTGGCTCATATGGAACCATTTCGAGGCCCTAGGATACTATTTCTTGTGGTACATATTTGTTCTCTGCAGACACTTTCTGTATGATTTCTGTCCTCACTGGCCCCTCCACCTTCTCAATGTGGGATTCCAGCTATTAGTGTCAGTGGAGGTATGTTTGTTGTGGAAGTTATCATTTTCCTAAACTGAAAATGTATTTCCAAACATACTTGCTTCCTCTGATACTCTCCCTCCCCACTAAGAGCTGGTGTTAGTGACCAGAATGAGATAAGTTGTGAAAAAGTGATTTTATTGTCTGCTTATATATAGTACCTGCATAGAGTACATGTGAGGGCTGGCATAAAGTTTTGCAAATTAGATATTGCAGACGGCAGTCGAGTGGCGTATATAAAGACTGGAGCAAACAAACACACTATTAGATGGCAAAGATGAAGATCGAGAAAAAGCTATTAGTGTCAGGAGAGGTAAGTATGTTTGGACATACATTTTCAGTTTAGGAAAATGATAACTTACAAACTTATTAGTTCTTGATTGATCCGTGTATTCACTTTGTACCACTAGAATAATGAGAAACAAAATGTTTACTTGAAGTCTGTGTTTTAAACATATTACAACTCAGTTTTTGATAAATTTAAAGGGGTAACAAAGTATTTGGAACACATTATAATAAGAATTGGTTAGTGTTGAGAAAAGCATAAATTAATACAAGAAGCTTATAAGTAGCAATAATGCTTGGAGACAGATTGAATGGGTAATGATTATTAGTCTCAAAGTGAGTTCCTTGTCATTGAATTATTAGTAGCAAGTTTTGTTTACTGGAAATATTGATCTTTTGAAAGCTTCTTGCAATTATTGAATCTTTGTATTACTTATATCAAATAATTATAAGAAAGAAATGGCTTTCTTAATAGTTTTTAAACATCTAGTAATATTTGTTTATGCATGTCTTTATATTTTATTAGATAACTGACATCAGCAGACCTGAAGTCATGTTGAATGTGTTTTCTGACCTTGTGAATGAAGATCCAGAAGATTTAAAAACTTCAGAGGTATGATTTGTTTCTGAAACATTGTTCTTAATGTATAAAGCTGTAAGTAGTTGCAAGGAGTAACACATACGTTTATGATTGGATAAAGAACGAGTAGAATTTAATAATTATAAGTGTCAAAAAAAAAGACTTCTGCTGTATATATATATATATATATATATATGTGTGTGTGTATATATTAGTAGTAGTAATAGTTATGCTATTACAAAATGAGAACTTATCATCATGTGTAAGTGGGCAAAAGTTCAGTAATCACAAAACAATGAAGTGAAAATATTTTGAAATGTAAACCAAAAACATGCAAAGACATGCTGGAAAAAAGAAATGTCAAAACCCGTATGTATGTGTGTGTGTGTGTGTATATATATATATATATAGTTGTCTTGGATTTTGTGTATGATTATATTCTTAGTATGATTATAATTAAATGAATAGAATATGATACAGGCTTTGTTGCATATATTATTTGGCCATATTACTTATAGGCCTTTTCAAATCTTAACATTGGATACATTCGTTAGGATTCTAACCATTTCTTTTGTGTCAGTCTATCATGTCTTTGTACTAGCTATCTATTATTGATATTTAATTGCTAGTAATTTGATTATGTGCAATACCAAATGTTGCATCACTTGTCCTGTTTTAGACACTTATAAGTGTTTTGTAACAAGTGCTTCTTGTAAATTAAAAATTGTGGTTTATCTTCTTACTTGTAGAAAATATCTTAAATATATCAGTAATACTTTTGATACATCACGTTTACAAATGAATTTCCATTGATCACTGTGTAAACATGAATACGTTAATTCTTTAGAATTGGAACATTTTTGGATTCATGCACTAGAAACTGCAGTTATTGATATTTTGAAATTATTGAATAATGAGGGAGAATGCTCTGCACTTTGGAACCATAGGTGTATTATGAGAGTGACAGTAAAATTCCACAGTTGTTTTGGAGTTGCTGATAAGTGCTGTTGACTAGTTTAGCAATTCAAAATTAGGAACAGTTAGTTCATATAGCCCTTGTATATTTTCATGCAAATATCCAAAACAAACAAACTTAACAAATTAGTAAAGATTAAGGAAAAGGAAAGTGATAAGCATAATTTCTGGATTATAATAATGAAATTATTTAATAAAAACTGGTAAGCTCAAGTTGTAAAAGGTAGTTCAAACTTACAGTTTTATCACTTTAAATATAAAAATTTCTTTAAATGATTTTTCTTGTGTTGAAAATTTTTTGGTTGATAAATTTGTTACTTTAACCCTTCAAGAGAGTAATAGAACTTCTTTTAGTTGTATATAAACATTAAAGAATTTACAAGTTTTAGCATTTATAAAAACTTTCTCGTCTTTAAGAATCAAATATATATGAAAAAATTATGGGGATTCCAATGGCAGTTAATCATTCAATATGTATTTGTAACTTATGTTTTTATTTTTATGAAAATATCTTTATGGGAAATGACTACTTTTAACCCTTTAGGATCTAGTAGGTCAAAGTGCACATGTCACAACCTTTTACATAGTTACATTCAAAATTTAAACTACTTTGTTATCAATGTATATGTATAAAGTTGGCATCAGAACATTATTAATTAATCATATTTTACTATTATTTAACCTTATGATCTTAATTTTATAAGAAAATATTTAAAACTCCTCAAATCCCCTTGTTCACTAGGTCTTCCATGTTCTCTAATTTATTTACCACCCCTCCAAGAAGTATGGAATTTATTATAAATTACTTATTATAATAGTTATTATTTAGGCAAAGCATAATTTTTATTGCCTTCAGTCTCATTTGGCTTCAGAGCCATAGACTAGAAAATCAGACTCCTCCTGCCATGTTCACATGTCACATCCTCTTTTTCACCAGTTGCCAATAGTTCTCTCTGATGTTTCATACTATATTATTTATTACCAACAGAAAGCCAAAGCTTTAATCTATCAAATGACTTATTATATTTTGTTGTTTTTTGTACAGATAATTGTCTATTTTGCTTCCAGTTCAAACTTTATTCCCACGGGAAACACGTTGATGAGCTGAATTAAATTTTTAATGGCTTTTATCGCATGGTTAGAAAGCCAGAAAAATTATGATAGCTACAGGACACTGTCTGCTTTTTACACGTTATTATTCTGTTGTTAGGTTTGTTATTTAATTAAATAAAAAGTTATTTGTTGCAGTAATAACATTAGTATTAAAAAAAAAAAGTAGGGTTAAGTTTCATCGATAGTCGACAAAAAAACAACACACGTAAGTACTATATTTCTTGTTTTTCATGTGTATTGTTTATTTATTATTATAAAAGTAACTAAAATGTAAAAATTATAAACTTATTAAGTTAGATGAGGTTAAATTAGATAAAGAAAAACAAACAAAGAATTTTTCATGAGATATGCTCTCAAGCAGCCTGTGCATTACGTAATTTGATATGGTAACATGAGCTGCACATTCACCAAGTGATTTACAATGTGTATGTCAGGATTATTAGTTGGACATGGTTCAAAAGATAATAAAATTAAGTATAAACTAGCCATATTGTGTAAAACATTTATGGTAGTTTTCATGCCCATTGCTTGAATTTTCTTTATTATATCGTTTTCATGCATGCCATTTAAGCTACGTTTTCTTGCAGGCATTATGTATTAGATCAATAAATCCTGCTCTATTTGAAAAAATTATATGTGGTCAGACAAACAAACTCCTGTAGATATAACTTTATTTAATCAAATTACATGTAAAGAAAACAATAAAGTAAAGTAACGAGTGTTCAGAGTATAACACGGTTTTATGAATTGATACAAAGAAACTCATAAAAATGATAAAAAAAACCTGTAGTAAAGAAAAAAATAGGTAAAAGGTGTTTATAGCAGTCTATGAAACAAACCAAAGTTAAGGTATTGCAAAATACAGTAAATGTAAAGTTGTAATAAAGGCAAACTTAGCTGAATATACAGAAATGTCTGAATACTTGTTCACAAAGTAATAAGCATATAGATTTGAACGAACTCAGCATGCCTATTTTAGATTTAAAAAAAATCAAAAAGCCCATACCAATTGTATTTAGTGTAACGTTTATTTTTTTTAGGAAATTAGATGTGGGTTAAGAGTTGTTTATGTGAAATACTTTGCAAATAAAAAAACTAAAGTTGAAATAAAAGCCAATTGTCACGTAATGACAATGACATTGTGCCGTCATGTACCATACTCATTGCATTGAAAAGTTTGACTAAGCAAAAAAACAGGTAAATGATACCGAATTGAAAAGCCAATATGCAACTATGCAACCCAAACTTCTTGGACAAAGACCTTTCTAACGATGTGAGATTTGTAGCATTTTTATGAAGAAATTTGCAAGAAATGTTCTGGACAGTAAAATGCAAGCATATTATTTATATAGATAGATGTATATTGTTACAAGCTTCAAGCTATTTAGGATAAACAATTGTGGTTTCTTGTTAGAATTTGCAGTCATTCCAGAAAGAAAAAGAGGGTACTTTAGAATTTTTTCTTAATATTTTTATGGTGGTAATGAGGTTGGTTAACTCGACCAACCATATATATAGATATAGTTTAGAAGATAGCAGATAGAATATAGAGAATTTCCAATAAGGATAGCTGTTTCATATATAATATTTATAAACTAATGTTTATTGGAATTATTTCATCTTAGATTTTTGAGTTATGATGATGTTTTATTTTTACTTTCACATTTAATTAGTTAACCTAAGTATGTGTATGATTCACCTTGTGATGTAATATAAGTATATAGTATTTGACTTGAAATGTGTTAGTTAACTGTTAAGAACAGACGATATGTTACTTCCATTAAGAACTTTGGCTGGGAATACTTTATGATCCTTACCATTTAGTGTTCATTTTGTTTCTTGCAGCTTTGACATTTCTACTGCTGGAATGTCTAATTCAGAAAGAAAGTTTTAGTTACCATTCAAATTATCTTTTTAATTAACACTTGCCACACTAGCCAACCCAGCATCTTGATGTAGATCCAAAAGGTGAGTCCTTCCGGAAAGGTTTGAGTTGTTTTGATCAGACAAACAGAGGTTTGGCTCTAGTTTTGAGGTCTACGTTGCTGGACCAGACCTGTGACCTGACCCCAGACCATGAGAGCCAACATGGAGAAGTTAACTTCTAAATATAAAGTAAAATGATGTAGCAATGAAACATGCCTGAAATGTTCTAGATGTGGTTTTCAGCATGATGGTTTAAGTGTAGCAATTAAGCTAAACCGTGGTCGGATGAGGGAAGAACTTATTTATTTTTACATATATATATATTTATATTCTTACCCAAAAATACTTTTATTACAAAATCAAAAGTGTTGCTTATTGGTCAAAATGCTTAAGATACATCCATTTGATATTTATGTAACAAGACAATTTTTAACGTTTTCCTGTTAAAAATCAAGAACACAAGCTTAAAATTACTTCTAC